AGAGCTTGCGGATCACTCACCGTTTCTGGGAACGGAGTCATCTTTCTACCGATGCTCAAAAATAAATAAATAGACACTCGAATTTTCAAGCGGTACTTCAACACTCCACGAGGACGACTCCGGCTACAATGCATATTTGAATTTGCTCGGTATAAATAAATATTATTATTATTATGCGCGGCTTATAATATAACCTTTATTAATATAATGCCTCGCTCAATTAAAAATCATACCGTAATATTAAGCCATCATTGGCTTATACTTGGGCATCGTAAATTATCATTACTATCATACAATATCGCAGTCTACGAGAGGTAAACATTTGACCTTAAAACACTACAAGAATATAAACTCGAATTAAAATGAATTAATTATCGCTATATTTCTCCCGTTTGAAACAAACGGCGCTACTATAGCGTTTGAAACAACATTTGAAGATTTCATTGCACTGCGAAAGTATTTTCGCAACGAAACTCAGAGTGTTATTGGCAGTGAGAACGAAAGCTACAGGATGTGATGATCAACTGAGCTTTTACGGTGAAGTTCAGTAACTGTGAGAAGGGAGTGTAACACTCGGACGCCGAGTAACACATGTTCAGTTCCAGAAAAGTGAGGAGAATAAGCCAGATAGGGTAAGTAAAGCCTCGAAAGAAAATCTACCGCTCCCTAATTTTAACCACGTCTTAGGATCGACTGCCGTGTGCAGCTGTAATGGCGAGTAAGGAATTGTAGCTAATTGTGCTGTGAGTTCAGTGTATATTCCCTAAAACCGCAGTTATGGTTATGGTTTTAACTAACATGCAATTCGATAACTACTTCAGTTATTACAGATTCACATGGCTATTTGGCATATATAATTCGGATACTCGATACACAAAAATTTTACAATAAACTGAATTTATCACTTTCCTTCTATTTTATCGGCAACAGTTTTCCGTAATTAAAAAGCAAAGCGATTATAGCATAATCCAAATTCAACTTCGATCGTCTAGAAGGATCCCGCCAGCAAAACTGACTGAAAAAAGAATGCATGAAACGAAAATACTTACAAACCTAAAATAAAACGTAACATTAAAATGCTTTTAATTTTAAAAGAATATGTATGCACCAAAACGGTTAAGTGCTACAGGCGGTTATTGCTAAATATTTTGTCCCAGTAGTTTTGTTTGTCACAAACCAAAAACTTTGACCACTTCTCGAACGCACACTCGAATTTTAGCTTCTTCTAACATTATAGCGGAAGCAAATTTACTGGTAGAAGTTGTTAGAATTTCATTTACGAAAATAGCTAGTTAATATAAGGTTTCACATTGTAGACTGCGGGAGCGCTTTTCGCAAGTCTTTCCATCGCAAATTTTGCCGCAGAAAAATATTTGTTTTGGAGCAATGTATTGTATTAGAAATGCCTGTAAAGCTCTTCCCTTTTCTAAATTTCAGTCTCGCGTTTTATTATTACAAAGGAACGTTTTCGAGTTTATTCAAGGGTTCTACACTGATAAAGTCAATAGAGAAGTTCGCGATGTAAAAAGTGACAACAATCAGTACCGTCAATCATGCATGATATCAAATGGAAGACAATAGTCCCACTAAACAAGCAAATGGAACGCGAACATGTCGAGCAAACAAGCGAGCTAATCGAAAGCGACAGTTTAAGTCATGAGAGGTGAGAAGGCAATTAAATACAACCTTAAATACTTAATATACAACTTATTTTATAATTATGCTATAGACAACTGACTTTACGTATGTCCTTTTCTAAGCAAACATCAAAGAATAAGGTTTATTTCGAAAAAATAATTGTCGGTACCACAAAAGTAGACCACTCATCGCCAACCTTCCCATTCCCGATCCAAAAAGATCGACCCCTTGTTCAAGACGAATATTATAAAAAGTGAAATTGTTTACCCTGTTAAGACTCAAGGCTTTGAAAATCATATCCTATTCAGAGACACAATGAGGCCAAATAAGGGAGTACCCCCTTGGTAGTCTGTTCAAACAATAACTACAGGCTTGCTAGTTAGTAAGAACTCAACCCCACAAAAATATCTTTTAGAGTCGCTTTATAAAGGAAAATTGAACCTCCCTTGCCTTTTGTGACCAAGTCGGGTTGATATCATTATTTTATTGTAAAGACTTTGTGTGCGTTAACCCAATTGATTATATTTAATGTGTAATTTCCAAACGAAAGCATTACTCACGGCAACAAGTTGAAAGTTTAAAACTGTCTTCCAGTACGATAGAAAATAAATCTGGAAAATCTCATTTTTTGTATCTCATCAAGTNTTTTATTGTAAAGACTTTGTGTGCGTTAACCCAATTGATTATATTTAATGTGTAATTTCCAAACGAAAGCATTACTCACGGCAACAAGTTGAAAGTTTAAAACTGTCTTCCAGTACGATAGAAAATAAATCTGGAAAATCTCATTTTTTGTATCTCATCAAGTACTGAAAAATGTTAGATGGTTGTATCAACGTTGCCAAATACTAAATTATGTATTTGTCAATAGAATTCCAAAATACGGTTTTTGAAAAAATCACGACTGAGTTATACTAATTAGTTTTGTTTAGAATACTCTCAAAGGGTTTCGATCTATTAAATGAAGGTTAAAAGCCTTTCTGGCAGTGTTGGATCTCACTTTAGGGAGAATTAAGTTCTGTCCACTTCCCCTCGTGTTGTGGATGTTCTTACTAACAATGCTATCAATTTCAATAAACTTACATTGGTGATTACTTAGTGACGAAAACTTTAGAAGTGGCTGTATTCCAGTCAGAAGGACCTTTAGCTTAGTCAAAAATACCTAATAAAATTTGTACCTACGTAATTCATGTTTCCATAGGTATGGAGTTGTTTTGTTAAGAAGTGAATTCATTACAAAAAAAACTGCTGTAAAATCTGCTGCAAAATCTTCGTCGACGTGTGATTTAGTCTAACTTCATGCTGAACTCGGAACAAAAACTAAACACAGGAAGTTAAAAATCCTAACAGTACTAGATAGTTTTTAGATGAAGAAATTTTCAGTCAATATTAATTTAATGTTCATTATCAATCAGTCCAACAGTAATAATCAATTTATAGTAAACAAAAACTTGTTAAAACACGAACAAAGAATCAACAGAAAGGAAGAAAAAGCTGTTGTTAAACTAACGTGACCTATGTTACTTACGACGACCAACTCGAGCAGAAAAGAGTTCACAGGTAACAAATTTTCCAGCTTTTTTCAAGTCCTTTGAGTCTGTTTTTTTTCGCTTCGTATCGGTCATTTGCGCTTTCTAAAGATTCATAGAGATCGTGAATTGTTTTGAGGTTTTCATGCAATGCGAGTGCCCAAACGGACTGGAAAATCTCACTTTACTCGCAATAAATTCGCGAACTGGACTGTAACTTAAAAAATAAGAGGAGTTACAATTTTTTTTAGTTGATCGGAGAGTCTTCCAAAATCTGTTTCTCGAACGTAGTAAAGTTTGAAAATATATACATCCTTGAGTGCGTTTTCTTAAAAGCGACGAGGGGCACAGAAATAGGTGTGACTGAGTAAGAAGGCGACTGTTTTCTGTAAAATATCTGTTCGGAGAAGCAAATATTGCCCATAATTTCCTATTACTTTAGGACGGCTAAAAATAAAAAATTTCTAGATGACTGTACCATGTACAATTTTCGAAGCCTATCTCATAAATCCCTTGCGATTTTCTATTAATAGTTTAATTTTGCACATTTCACTCCTCGGGTTGGGCTATTTTTCGTAGATAAAAGGAAACTTAAAATTTTCAGATTCAAAAATGTGACGAAGAAAGGAATTAGTAAAATTCTCACCAGTTTGGTAATAGCGGAGCTCCACCCGCGCGCGAAGCGCGCGCGTGGGCGGAGCCCCATAGCTAAGGAAATGTGGTAATCTACCCATCCCAGAAAATTTGGTAATCACGCGACCGTACACCGAGCGAGCGAGCGAGCGAGCGACCGTCCGTCCGCACCACAGGCATACCAATGTAAAATAATTCAATCAACAGGTATGGGAACCCAAATGCAACTCAAGGTTTTATTTGGAAGGAAATCACATGGCCGCCCGGACTTTTAGAAAGAAAAAGGTCGTGTCTTTTTCGGCGTTATTTTTTATGAGTACACTAACGTGGATAACAGAGAAAGAGCTAGAGCGAGTTACTGAAAATTCGTTGGAAGAAAAACATGGAAATTCAAAGCGGCGGTGAGAAAATGAGAAATGCTAGCGGCCAGAAGGTGAAAATGAGCGGCAGTGAAAAATAAAAGCGAACATGAACACTGGAAACAAAATATTGGGTAAGCACATACGACAATTTCTCCATAAAAATAGTGCGTAACTAAGAAGTTTGACGTTTTAGTCGTACAAAACAGTGTTGTAGTCGTGCAAAACAACGGCAAGGGAAAGACAAAAAAGCGTGCTGCACGTGCAATTAGTTTTTTTGCTAATTAGATCTATTAGTCTTGAAGCCATTTTCATTGTCGTCCCCCGTTTAGCATTACACGATTTAATTTTTTTTGTTTACACGTATTATTAACCAGAGCTTCGCTTTTAGCCCTGGCTAAATCTATATATGACGTTAAATTACATCTAAAATTTTCGGTAAAATAACCTGAGGCCCTTGTAATTTCAAAAAAGTTCAAGCTCCTCTAGCATGATCAAATAGATCCATTTTAGATCATCTTATAGCTCCGGTTAGAAATGCATTTCTAGCTGTCTAAAAGTACTCTGGATTATAGCCTAAAAAGTATTTTCAATGTGTTTAAGAGGAAACCGTCGTTGGCTGCCCCTGAGAGTAAGTTCACGATAAATTGAAAACTGCGAGTTTTAGTAAAGGTTAAGGATTCAGCTAGATTTAGTTTTTATGAGGGTCTTCTTCAGGCAAACTTTAAACACGACACTTTAAGAAAACTAATGGTAGGATTTGTTTCACCATTTAATTGATTTTATTTCTGACTTTATTTTCCAACTTCGTCTTCAGAAAAACCCCTAAAAAACCGACACGATGAGTACAGCGTGTAAAGTCTCTCTGGCTCTGTTGTGTTTATTTGCTGTTGCGTCATTCTTGGTCTTGACAGCAGTGGCGGGCAACAAAACCAAACAAACTTCGAGCAATATGGTGAGTCAATTAACTTTCTGCGCGGGACCATGCCTGATATAACTGAAACAAATGATAGCGAAAAAACTTCAAGAACAGAACTTTGCGCAATCCAATAACTGCTAAAGAGTACTTTTCTGTGAGTATTTATCTAGTCTCGGTCGACGTGAAGGAATGTTCAAACAATGGATCGCATCTTTCAAAACTCGTGAAAATCGTGATAAGGTTGCAAAGCTCAAAGATAAATGTGTAACTGTTTCAATTTCAATTTCGATAATTTAGAAAAAACTGTAACAATTCATAATAAATGATGGCAACTAATACTAAACTCGGATATGGGATAGATTCCTTTAAAAAATAGAATGGTTTCCATGACTTTACCAAAGTCTCGCTCCCTATCAGCACAAATCATTTAGAAACAGGTTTTAGGGAACTTCTTAAATCCATCAACATCAAGTAGCTTCGTGTCTCGATTAAATTTTATGTCTTGACCGTATATCTAACGATGCATTAATGTAAAGTTTCTCCACAACACTTAACCAAACGAGCCAAATAGAGTTGGGAAACAGGAAACGAAGGGGAAAAAATATTTTAAGGTTGTCTGCAGACATTATGAAATATTCGTCAGAACATTTTCAGGGGTTTATTTTCCGAAAGGCTAGTAGGGGAAAGGAACGGGGTTAAATTGTTTAAAGTGTGTCATAAAGGCACAGTACTTTTCTTTTTTTTTCTTTTTTTTTTCCCTAGAGGTGGCTAAGCATCGCCGATGAGACTAAATCACTGAGGGAGTTATATATTTTGCTCAACACACAATAACACTTTTTAAAGTAACTTTTTGTTTCTCTCTATAGCAATCTTCCCCATTCTGCGGGTTTGGTGGTATTCCAGGCATGCACGGGTTACCAGGCCGTGACGGACGTGATGGCCGAGAAGGAGCGAAAGGTGACCCGGGAAGCCCGGGAAAAACTGGGCCTCTGGGACCTGCTGGTGTAAATGGAAAAGATGGTGCTAAAGGAGAGCCTGGTGTACGGGGCCCACCAGGTCCAAAAGGAGAGCGTGGACAAAGTGGACATCCTGGGAACCCAGGTCTGATGCCTTTTAAGAACTGGAAAGAGTGCGCATGGAAAGATTTAAACGATGGCAAAGACAACGGTTTAATAAAGGTAAATTTTCACGAGTTAAATCTTTTATTTGGTATAAAATGTTATCTTCATTTGTACTTTTTTCTTACCTCCTATTATAACCAAATGATGTGACTATTCTACGTTTATCTCCCCCATATTTAGGACTGTGTCTTCACCAAGAACTTTTCTGACACAGCTCTTCACGTTGCCTGGACTGGTGCCCTTAGACTCCACCATTGTACAAGCTGTTGCAAACGCTGGTACTTCACTTTCAACGGTGCAGAATGCTCAGCTCCTCTACCCATTGACGGTATTGTGTACATGTGGCAAGGCAAAACTCAAGATCTTCACCGCGTCCGCCATATTGAGGGGCATTGTCACAACATTCACAAAGGAAAGGTGCGCGTGGGATTTTGGGTTGGTAATTGTCCGAGTAACAAACCTGGTGACGCCTACACTGGCTACTCGTCTGTGTCCCGGATCTTCATTGAAGAAGTTCCTAAGGCTCAGGCCTAAATGCCGAGACAAAACATCCATTCTGCTAAGATAAACACTATCGCTTCCAGCCAGTTCTACAGATTACTGGGAAGTCGATTATTGTAATGGTAATGGAAAGATAACATTAAAAGTTGCAGGATGCTTTGCAAAGTGCGTGTTTGTGTTTATTTCGATCCCCTCCGATTAGAGGTCTTTCGCTAGTTAAAAGTCCTTCGCGTTTTCAATCCTTCAAATAACCACTTCTTGAAATCTCTTTTAACAATTGAAAGAAGTCATACGTGTATGTAGTTAAACCGGACATCTTGATTTACAAAATAAATTTCATAAGAGAACGCAGTATTGTCTAGAATGAATGCTGATGTGAGAAGTTCAAAGAAAGGTTATCAATTCACCATCGTAATTTTGCCTTGTTGTTGTTGTATATAAAAAAAGTAAAAATATGCCTGAGGTTGACCCTTTTTACAGTTTTTGAATGGAACCTTTAAAAGCGTCCTCAGTTGATACGTCGGGTTAAATTTTAAGATAAAAAAGAGAGAATCTTTTTTCCAAACGTTGAAAAAGGTCTAACAGCGCTACTGCCACTTGATTTTCTTTTGTCATTTTTTTGTTGCAAGAAATTATGATAGCGACAGTATTCCCCAACTTAGGGATCTGTATCCTCGTTGCCAAGGAGAGAGAACCTGGGAAGGAGGTTGATGGATCCGTTTCTCGAAGTCCCAGAAACGATACAGGCCCAAAGCCAAAATATTGAAATCAATCTAAAAAACAAAGCGCAGGTCCTAGCAAGCAAATCATGTTCTGTAAACTGACGGTTATCTGAGAGACTGTTGAAACCTATATCTTGACCGATAAATAAAACAGCTTTTCGGGATCAGTAATTAATGGGACTTTCCAAAAACGGGTCCAAGAACCTATTTGATTGCGATGCTCTTTCGAGTTAATACACCATACTGATACATTCATGATTACCTGGAATGCAATGAATGACAAGAACTTAAGATGCAGTGGCTCTCATAGACCTTTTTAACCTTCGCTAAGAATATTTTCTCTCTTTTTCTCTCTATTTGTATATTTTGTAGAAATTAACGTACACGGTGTCCATTACAATGGAAAACCACCATAACTGGACAAATGTAAGCAGAAAGAAATTCGATGTGCTCCTATTAGCAATTTTGGATAGTCTTGCATTTTCACCATGACTACTGTTAAGAGTCCTTTCTGACGCGTATGAAGGAGAAGAGATACCCTGGAAAGGAGATTGCAACACAATTTGTCACATGAAAATTGTCTCTCGTTTGCTAATGTGCTGATTTGTAGGCGTCATCATAATAGATGACTCGTTCAACCAACCGTGATTGAATATATAAAATTTATTGAAACTATCGAGTGTCTGTTCACATGAGTCGTAAACTTTACAAACTCAGATTACTCCGACCAAACTCCCGGGTATTATATTATTTTGATTTCAATTATAAATACTCATGCAAAGGGTTCATGTATAAAGAGTATTTTTCATTTTAATTTGAAACTTTTAAACAATATGCACTGTATTTTAACTGCGCCAGTTCCAAAGCCTTGTTTACAAACGAACACTGAACGGGACAATTAAAGGGATTTCTAGTTAAAAGTATTGTTTTTCGTTTAGTGCGCCATTTTTCTTGAATATCTAACCAAGATTTTATTCAATAAAAAAAAAGACTTCATTAAGTTGGAGTCTTTAGTTCCCTTATTTTTTGAGAATATTTGGATTTTCTTTCGAATGTTTTCAATAAATATAAAATAGGGAGGTTCTGTTTAAAATTTTGGGAAATTGGAAAATATTGGATTTGGGGATCTTAAAGAACTAAAACATGAAACGAATAATTAGTAAACAAATACCAGATACTCAACCACCATAACAAGGTGCCTCTGAGCCCACTAGCAGACAGGCTGGTTTATGTTTTCTACCCTAATTTATTTATTTTCCAAATCAACAACATTTCCCCCCAAAAAAACAACCAGGATGCCACCTTAAAGAAGCTCAGAGCTCTCCTTCAAGTTAAAAGAAAAGGTACCCTTTCTACTCTTTTGATCCCATATCTGTATCACGCCTCCTTTTTTAAAGAAGTCAACATCCTTTTGTAATGGAGTGCCCAGCATGCCAGGTACACCTGGGATGCCAGACCGTGATGGACGGGATGGCCGTGACGGGGCGAAAGGTGACCAAGGAATCCAAGGAAATACTGGACCCCAGGGTCCTCCTGGCCCTACTGGTGCAAACCGTGCTAAAGAGGAGCAAGATGGTGCTAAAGGAGAGTCTGGTGTACAGGGCCCACCAGGTCCAAAAGAAGAGCGTGGACAAAGTGAACATCCTGGGAACTCAGGTCTGATGCCTTTTAAGAACTGGAAAGAGTGTGCATGGAACAATTTACGCGATGGCAAAGACAACGGTTTAATAAGGGTAAATTTTCAAGATTTAAATCTTTTATTTGGTATAAAATGCTATCGTCATTTGTACTTTTCTCTTACCTCCTATTATAACCAAATGATGTGACTATTCTACGTTTATCCCCCCCATATTTAGGACTGTGTCTTCACCAAGAACTTTTCTGACACAGCTATTCACGTTGCCTGGACTGGTGCCCTTAGAATCTACGGGTGTACAAGCTGTTGCAAACGCTGGTACTTCACTTTCAACGGTGCAGAATGCTCAGCTCCTCTACCCATTGACGGTATTGTGTACATGTGGCAAGGCAAAACTCAAGATCTTCACCGCGTTCGCCATATTGAGGGGCATTGTAACAACATTCACAAAGGCAAGGTGCGCGTGGGATTCTGGGTTGGTAATTGTCGAGGTGGATCACCTGGTGACGCCACCACGGGCTGGCAGTCTGTGTCCCGGATCTTCATTGAAGAAGTTCCTAAAGCTCAGGCCTAAATGCCGAGACAAAACATCCATTCTGCTAAGATAAACAATATCGCTTCCAGCCAGTTCTACAGATTAAAAGGAGGTCGATTATTGTAATGGTAATGGAATGATAACATTAAAAGTCGCGGGATGCTTTGCAAAGTGCGTATTTGTGTTTGTTTTGATCCCCTCCTATTAGAGGTCTTTCGCCAGTTAAAAGTCCTTCGCGTTTTCAATCCTTCAAATTACCACTTGTTGAATTCTCTTTTAACAATTGAAAGAAGTCATACATAAGAGAACGTAGGACTGTCTAGAATGAATGCTGATGTAAGAAGTTCAAGGAAAAGTTATCTATTCACAATCGTAATTTTGCCTTGTTGCATATAAAAAAATGTAAA